CCCTCCGGCAGCCGACACGAACACACAGGGAGCCGGTGCCGCTGCTGGCGAAGGTGGTGCTGGCGCTGGCGCTGGTGCCGGCGCTGGCATGTTTGACCCGGCCGCGATGCAGCAGATGCTGGGCATGCTCGGCGGAGGCGGAATGGGCGCGTTCGGCGGTGGTGTGCCGCCCGCGTCCCCGGTGGACACGCGGCCGCCCGAGGAACGGTTCCAGGTGCAGCTGCAGGTGCGTCGTGCGCAAAACAAAAACCTGTCGTGAGACCCACGAGCGCTGACTTTGTGCGTTCCACACAGCAACTGCAGGACATGGGCTTCACGAATGCGCAGCAGAACGTCCGTGCGCTGCTTGCGACAGGCGGGAACGTCCATTCTGCCATTGAGTATATCCTCGGTGGCGGGGGTCTGTAGTACGCTATGTGATACCAGAACAAGAGGGACGCAATTGTAAAATGCTGATTGACTAGATATAGAAATAAGATGTAATTTACTGTATTCTTGGACTGGGATGTTCGGCATCGGGGGATAGTAGGCGCGACCACGACAAAGGTATGTCACCGGACTCCTGCTGCCCAACGACGATGGGCATCAGCGCATTTTTACATGTCACTCACGGAACCTTGTCAGTCCCACGCTGCTTCAATATCGCTCGAGAATACACGTCGAAGGTTGGAGGTATCTTGTCTGATGGCTGGTTGGCAGTTGTACAACAATACTGCCCGCTGCCGTGGAACGGTGGGGACAATCTTTCGTTCGATGCCGGTCCCAGTAGTTGTCTTTCAAATCTCTCGTGAAGAGCGGGCGAAACGGAAGGATCTCAAGCTGTGCACGCAGGATCGATTCTGCGCATTCCCCGTATTCTAATTTTTCCTCGTACGGCCAGTGACTCGCTCGTGTTGTAGCAGATGGCGACCGCGGTGTCGCTTCTCGAAGGCACTCGAGTCTGTTCATCAGGCTCTGCCGAAGCGACATGTCTCCTGCGGTCGCCGCAGGGCATGCAGGCGATCCTGTAAGATATTTTCTTTTGGTTAAATGAAGCCGGATTCAAGATTGCGGCGGCGGGACCGGTATTGTGTCGCCTAGCACAAAATTCAGGGGGCTAGCCAATAGACGAGATCTAAAATTTCGGGGCCACTATAATCTGCATTTTTTTTTACGGTAGCTGCGATTGGTCCCCTCATCAAGGAGTTTGACGAGCGGATGCTTATCAATTCGCTGTGGCGCCTCGAATTTAATCCCGTGTTGCGCAGCGGTCGGACGCCAGAGCGGCAGAAGATCGCTCTGTCAACGAGCTAATCACCGTGCATGAATCGACGGCGCTCAAGGTGATGCCACATTGGGTCGCGCAGCTATATTTCCGGGCGATGCCCAAGGTTGCGGAGCAGGCGGAGAAGAATGAGGAGACGGCAGGGTCCGTCGTTGCTGAGGGTGGCGTGCCCCAGTGCGCACAGTTCACACACGCATTTCAAGCGACAAAGACGAAGGTATACATTGCCGCGTGTGCATAATACACTTAGAGACATAGCAGGACATGGTGCGATACACGGGACTCCTCGCTTACGTCCGTCCCCCGCCTAAGCAGCTTTGAGACCTTGTCGGACCGGGAGGCGTTCAACCGTAATGTCTTGGGCGTCCAAGATTTGACAGATCTTGTTATATTGCGAAGGAATTGTATCCCAGATGATGTCGACGGATACTGCCCCATCAGGATGTTGGTCTGGATTCGCTTCGACCTCCCGGTAAGCATTGAGCAACGCCACTCTGATGTTTCCCAGTGCCGTCGCGACATGTTTGAGGTCATCATGAAGACAATCGAGGAGTGTCTCCTTGAAGGGGTCCACCTGGTTCGCCGCCGCTTGGGAAAACTTCACTGACCGCTCTTTGTAGCTGTAGAATAGACCACGAGCAAGTGCGCGCTGTTTCTCGAGCTTGTCAGATGTCTGTTGAGGTTGGTTCTTCGTCGGCTTCACAATCCTGTCGATGACCATCATGTACATGGACACCCAGAAAAGTGACTCCCAGTCGTTCAGCGGGTGATACCGGAAAGGGAGGGCTGGCTTGACTTGGGTTTCAAAATGCGATGGGAGTGCTCCCACGAGCTTCGTAAACGATTTTTTCCCTCCTCTGTGAGGTATGGTCTCTGGTCGTCCTACGCCCTGAATTTGAAAGAGATACTCATGGGCGTCAACCTCCAACGACATGAAATACTCTGTACCCTAAGTACTGCCGTGTAAGCATCTAAATCGGGAGAGTTCAGCAACAGGACGTACCGTACGCATCTGATGACTAGTATGCTCCTCGGTATCCCAACGTTTGGCGTACTCGAAGTCAGTTAACAATCCGCGTCCATCGTACACCAGAATATTGCCGGTGCTGATGTCACGGTGCACCCAACCCATGCTATTAATGATAAGTAGACCTACATTGTGGCGTCAGTACAGATCATACCGTCCCAGCGTCCCAGAGAAACGTGAGCTTACACAGCATCGCTACC